CACGATACTGACGTAACATTAAACAATAGAATAAAATATTTTTTGGTGCTCTTGTATAATATCTATAACACCACAGATGAAGCTCGGCTTTTTAAACTCTTGTTGTAACCGACTTACTGAATTTCTATATTATTTTGTTAAGTTTATCTCTTTTTAAATTCTTTTCAAAATGCACTGCAAAACAGAGTTATATCTAAACTTTTAGAATTTTCTGTATGAACAGACCAATTTCTGTCAGAATCTTAGAGAAGTTTCTTTCTACATATTACATCAATGAGCTTCTCGAATAATGTGCCAAATCAAAGTTAAGTTCGTCCTTGTCCAAGTTCATTCACCGATTTCCATTCAAGAAACGGAAATCTTTTTTAATTGAGCAGGTAAATCGGCACCTGCTATGGCTGGAAAAATCTTTTTGTTCAGATCAATTTCTAATGCTACGGTAAACAGAGTGATATTCTACGTGTTGATGCAACCACAGAGAATGCAAACCCTAACCTATTCATAGCGTCAATATTTGAATCAAGTCATGGTTTACTCTTTGTCATTCCTGCTCACTATACAACTCACTAGCATGAGTCACCTGTTTTCTGTCGTGTCATAAAGAAAAAAAGGTAACTATACGGGTCATAGTATTGCACAACAAGAACCTGCACACGTGCGTATCTATACACAAATATTTGTTTCGTTCTATATAAGCAAGTGTACAGTTCTCTGTGCTTACCACAATTCTTTCTTACTAAAAAAATGGAACACCTACCCGATGAACTATGGGTTCTAATCTTTCGTTATTTACATAGAATCGATATCTTACATTCATTTAGTCAACTGAGCAGTCGTTTTCAACAAATACTTCAATCGTACTATGAGAACATGAATTTAATAAATGTTTCGTATCGTCACTACAAAATACTTTGTGAACAGATATTACCTTTACATGGTTCTCAAGTACGTTCACTAATACTCCACAATAGTCTACAACTGAATAAATTTAAAGAACATATCAAGCAACTACCGCATCTACAGTATTTGAAGTTGACGTCTGATTATGATGATGAGGATAGTATACATGAAATTGAATATTATGTTGATCGATTACCACAATATTTAACTGATCTTCATATCGATGGATGTTTCGTTCTGTCTTCAATACTAATGAAAGTACTTGGAGGCAAAGCTGAAGTACCAGAATTTCCGAGCTTAACGAACCTGACCGTACTAGGTTCATATGCCTTTGAACAGCCGATATCTCAATCAGATTGGCATTGTCTTTGCATGCATCGTAATTTAAAGACGTTGAAAATACATCTGACAATTTTAGAAGATATATTTTGTATCTTACCAAGTATGCCAAATTTGGAAGAACTATACTTATCGTCCCTTTTGAACGTTATTGAATTCGAAGATGAGAAAAAAATGAACGGTTTTAGAACGGTCGCAAGGTCGATATCATCAAAATTACTCAAATTTCATTTTGAAACTGGAAGACTACATCAGGAACCAAATGACAGCTGCCGGTATGAGTTTTATTATGAATTGCAATTTCAACAGCTGAAAGACTTTATGAATCTGCTGTTCAGAAATAGCAGCAATCAATTGCAATCATTGACATTAATTCTGATTAGTAGTGATCCACAGTTTACTAGTTTTAATGAGTTACAAACATGGAAAAACACCATCTTCCCTCACCTTACGAAATTCGAATATCGGATTCGTACCGATAACAGTCCATCTCAAGATCACTTTTTTAATATTGAAAACTTGTCAGATAACACCTTCGAAAGTTATACTGATCCTAAACCGATTCGTTTCTATCATCCTCCTTCGGAAACGCTTCAATGGACTGTTACTATTTTAACAAAACAAAAATTATACA